CGCTTTGATGTGTGCATAAAACCCCAGGATTTGCACTGATGTCATTGCTGAGCGGTGTTCATTTTGCCTGCATTAGCGTGCGTGGGCTCATTTCATTCATTTATTTTCTCATTCATTTATTCATTAGTGCGGGTCTTATCTGGCCCCAATCGTTAGTCCAATTAGGCCCATGGTGCTGCACAAGTCCCGTGTTTGAAACAGGAGACGGATGAAGGCGAAGTGAAAGAACTTGGTGTCCTTCTCTTTTTATGCTCTTTCTGTCTCTCATTTTCTTTCAGTTTCGCCGTCTCTTGGCCTCCAGAACGTACTCTTTCGTCCTCACTCATTCTCTCCCACTCTCTGATCTGTGATAAGATAGCATAGTTCCTCATATCCTGTTTCTAATACAGATCGATGAGAGGGAAAGGACCGAGGTAGGGAGGGATGAGACGAGGCAGAGTGGGTTGATGTGGGTGTGTGTGGGGGGGTTAGGAGCGTCAGGGTAGAGATATCTGAAGAGGAAATGAGGATTCAGAAAGGAGGACATCACTCAGATTCACATCTCTTTTCATTTAGCCAATCACACACATGCATGCACACACACGAGCACACGTGGCTACATCTGCGTCGGGCCATCTCAATATTTCAGTGCCAATAAGGAAGCCATTTCGGCTGAGTGATTGAGTGAGTTTCTTTCCGCTGGATGCAGCTTTGCAGGTAGGAGCTGCAAGCAACTCGCATAACCTTTTGTGTTGCAGTCAATTACAGTTCAGTTGCATCAGCTGGGTGAGGAGGTCCCGTCGGGGGTTGCAGTGTGTGAGTGCTTGTTGTTAATACCATGCAATTTTCAGCATGCATACGCAGATACACACTCAGAAGCAGACAAATTGTCTCTCTCAGTGTATATGACCCCCAAGGGCAGCAGCAAACCGCCGCCCCCGTCCCTCTGTCTGAGACTCTAAATGATCTCAGCAAGCAGCGCCTTCAAAACATAGCCGAGAGAGAGAAAGCTGCCTTATTTATAGATTACATAAGTGGATATTGTGTGGTAAATTCTAAGAAATATCCCAAATGGCCTGAATATGGAGAACCTGAGGCGGCACGCTGTTCTTTTCCTCAGTCTCTCCAATATTAGCACTGCACCCCTGTGCCGCAGAGATGGAGAGGAAGGTGCGAGTGATGCAGGAAGACACAGTGGAGGTGCTTTTTCTCAGGTGGCTGCTTTTTGGTGCATGTGTTTGCTTTGGGCAGTAAACTGTCTACCAGCCTGTTAAGTGAGAGCCTCGGAGAAGAGAAGGGGGGGGCGAGCAAAAGGTAGAAATGCAGGGAAAAGGCTTCCTAAACCAATTAGAAGCCCGGCTGAGGATGGGGGGGCTGGTTTCAGCTACAATTACTGCCCTAATTGAGGTCAGAGTTGTTAATTTAGTGGTGAATTAGAACAGTTAATATGCATTTATCAGGATGGCCAGGGGAGAAGGCAAATGAAAGTGTGTTGCCCATGTGTGTGTACGTGTGTGTGTGTGTGCATGCGAGCGTGCTCTCTTGTAATTTTACTTGCATTGCAAGAGATTACATGCAAAAACATGCAAAGGGGCAATCCTCAGCCTTTGCTGCAATTAGGAGCATCACAACCAGTTGAATCGGAGACGCTGCCATTTGAACAGGCAATGATAAGGTTGAGTTGAGACGGAAAAGGGCGAGAGACATAAGAACGGAGGGGAGGAAAAGGAGCGCGAGAGAGCGAGAGAGAAGGGGAGAATTTGAACCGTTGGAACATGTTCCAGAGAACAGAATGATGATGATACAATATTTTCCAGTCAGGGGACACTCGGTGCACAGTCTGCCACAAAGTCACCTTTCTCCATCTCTGCCTCTCTCGTTCTTCCTTTCATGCAGAAATCCATTTGCACCCTTTAACTCGGAGACATATAAATATTTCTCAAAACATGCACATGTGCATTGTATTTCTGTCTGATTGCCTGTGTTGTGAACCACTTAGTGTCAAAGGATGAATCACAACCATGTTTTCTTACCCAACCAGTCAATGAATACAGGGCCACTCATCCCTTAAATCTTTCTTCTCCACTTCCCATCTTCTTCTCCCTTTTCCCCCAATTTCATCCGTGGGGGCTTTTATTCATCTCTTCCTCCGTTCTCTGCAGCATCATCTGTAGCCTGTTTTCTGCTCCTTTTTTTTGTGTCCTCAGGGGATTTTATATGTTCTTTAATATTCTCTCAGTTCTTGCTGTCCTCCTGTATTCTCTCTGTTCCTTGCTCCTCTCTTCTTGTGTGCGGAGGTTTGGCACAATTTCTCCAAGAGCTCCTGACCGTTGCCCCCTCTCCGATCCTGGCCACCTCCTCCTCTTCTTTGTCTCGCTTGCCCCTCTGTCCATCATCCGTCCTCTTGTTGTGTTTTTTTTTTTTTTTCTCCTTTGTCACAGGATCACGTGTGCGCTGCTTCTTCAGATACTGTCTTTTTGCAGATGATACCGGCAAGCACTTTACCTCCCTGAATTATGCATCGAGATTACATAAAAACCTCGCGAAGCAACTGATCTATTTTTAATCCGACTCGTTTGCTTGTTAAACCTGCTTCTCTGTGATCTTTTCCTGTCTGTGAGTGTGTAAGCGTGTGTGAGCGTGTACATGCATGTATTGTGTGTGTGTGTGTGTGTGTGTGTGTGTGTGTGTGTCTGTCAAAATGAACATGAGTGAGAAGACAGAGATTAAATGGTAACACAGCCCAAGTCAGACTATCTCTCTTGTTCTCCCCATGTCTGTCAGTCGAATTCAATTCAGATAGGCTTTATTGGCATGGCATTTAATAAAGCCTTCCAATGCAGCTTGAAAACAGTAATTACGGCAATTATGATCAGAAAAGAAAATGCTTAAAATTATGGCAACACAAAGCTAAATACATCAATTTCAGCAGTTTCATTTTAGCTAAAATTACACCCTAACAAAGTTAGAAGTGTTGTTAAAATGAGGGATGGTACTTGTAAAGAGAATGATAACAAGTGTCTCTCTTTGTCTTTCCTTTCTCTCTGTGTCTCTCCTGCTCTGTGTCTTGCTGCAAAGAAACCTGTTGACAAAGCATTGGCTTTTGTGCTCTTGTCACCGAGGAGTAAGTGTGCCATCTATTGGTCAACTTCTCACAGCCACTGACAGGGAAAAAAGGAAAAGGAAGGAGAAAAAAAAAGCACAAGCGGGAAAGAAAAACTAATTCAGGGAAGGAAAAAAAAAAAAAAGCACACGTGTGCACTAACCCTCACCGGCACATAAACACAATAGACAGACGTACACAATAAGCTAACCATAGGGCTGTCTGATGTGTTCTTGGGGATGACCTAGATTGAGCGCGCCGTCACAATAGACTCACAATTGCTTACTGTCTCCAACTGATTCAATAGGCAATCTTTCTATCGACTGCTCCCTGTGATACCATCTCTGCCTGCATGTGTGCGTGGATGCATGTCTGCGTTATCTGCAAGGAAAGGACAGGCAGAGATAAGAAGAAAAGATGGAAGAAAAAAAAGGGGGAATTAAAGGAAAAAGAAGGAGAGGGATGAAGGTCAGCGCGATGAAAGAGGACAGGGCAAGAGTTGGATATAAGAGAGAGGAGACAAGAGGTGG